TTACGTTTCTTTGCGTTTATACTTTCAAGTAGCTTTCAGAATCCAATAATACGTACATACAAAGTAAAACAAATCCAAAGTGCACTTTTAATTCGATAGAATAAACCAGCTTCATTTCAAAACCTTTTGAACACATGTCGTTCGGCGACGGCCGCCATTTTGAATATGCGCAATACAAAAGAACATGACTCAATTTTAATGTTATCAAAAATACCTAAATTAAAACACAGAAAACGCAACATCCATCATTAATGGTTCGGGAGGAGGTTACTCACGGACAAGTGAAGATGATTTAACAACAGAAACAATGATTTTAGATCGAAAAATTAAACAAAGAAACAAACGTCTGAAATTTAAAATTGATGAAAAAAACGTGTAGTTTACTCACCATCGTCAATTAACTGAACAGCAAGTTGGTGGCCTGCGCTCATCAACTGATCTCTTTCATTCTGTAATTCAGCAAGTTGCTGATCTTTTGATGTTGTTTCAGTCATTGTTGTTGGTAAAGGTCGGTCAAGAACTGAAAAAAGCAAGTAGCGAAGCTGTCGAAATCCACGCGCTGTCAACAAATTCAAGTGAAGTCTGTACCTATTACAGCTTTTCACTTTGCATATTCTGCCGCACACAAAAATAGTGCACAATAAATAAACGTTGTATCGTTTGTAATATGACTAAAATCTACACTCCTGTATAGTTATTAACTGCATCTAGTTGACATATATACAATATATGTGTCAGCAGTTATTTAAAAACTAAACGTTTTCTAAATATCACACGGCGCGCGTCAATTCGTTAAATAGTGTCAAGAAATAAAGCCCGTAAATAGTTCCACAAAACGGCCTTTGACATTTAAAAGTCACGTGACATGCTAAAAAATGCAGCTGGCCGCTCATGACGTTTCGTGATTGGTCAAATCCACAACCCTCAGTGTTGACAGGTGGTGTCAAACCACGGCCGTTCAAATACTAGTAACCATTACAGACAGGAACTAAAAGCAAGTGCGATCCAGTCTAATATTTTGCAATGACGACAACGAACAATGCTAAATGTATAAATTATATGAGTATGTATTGTATACCGTACGATTGGGGAATATCAACTATAGTTATACGTATTTTTTTTAAAGGGCGGCAGTCGTGTCGCGTCCTGTTCGATATGGGACTCATAGCGACGTATACAACGCGTGTAAAATACATTGTTTATTTACATGAAATTCGACACACGCGCTGCGCGACGACCACCGCGCTTTAAATATCATATATTGTTTCAAATTCATTATTATGAAATATAGTAGATAGTATTTGGTAATCGTAGTCCTAAGTAGCTATTAAAAATAGCTAGACGATAAAGAGCCATTGCTTGAAACTACTGAGTCGCTTTATACATATTTTGAGAACCACGAGCCCCAATGGCGAAGTGAAAAATATCAGAGAGAGGAACTGAATATATTCACCTGAATAGACCAATTGCGGGTTTCTATGTCATGTGTTATTTTTGTTCGAATGCAAAATAACAATCCGTCATTCTGTCGTCCTTATTAGTAGACTTTTTTTATAATTTTAATAATTTCGCTGACTTCATATGACTTCAAGCAATTCAATGAGAGAGTCGTCACCTGCGCATGCGTCAGATGGTCATAGCGTATCATTGGCTGGTTCCCGCCTCAAGTGTCATGGCGTACCAAGCCACAAGAGGCCGGTAACTAGTAATGAATCCGGCATTCTGATTGGTCCGTCACTTTCTCGTTGCTTGTTCTATTTCCCTTGGTTACCTGACGGCAGCGCTTACGCTCGTGGCCGTTCAGGGGTTTCCTTTTACTTTCGAAAGTTGGGTGAATAAAAAACTGTTTCTTTTGTTATAAATTTTCACAGAAACAGCGAGGAATGTCAGAAACATCTCAAATGTGTAAATCTAAGCAGGCAGTATGTTTGAGCATGGCTTTATTGTAGTATTATAGACATGTTTACGCAGAACGGAACTTGGAATGTTTTCAAATTACGTCACTCAGTCACGTGCCTTCCGGCCGGAAAACCGGCCCAAATGGAACAATATGGCGATTACTAGTTACCTGCCATTCTCTACCATCGGCC